GCTGGCCTCATGGTACTGCGCCCTCCATAGGATGAGCAAAATCGAATGAATCTGGCGTGGGAATATACACTGTCATACTTTTTTTCATTTTTTTTTTTCGTTTTTTTTTTTCGTTTTTTTTTTTCGTTTTTTTCGTTCTTTCACTCCAACGTTCGGGATGTCTGCGCCCGGTAGTCCGAGCCTCGGCACGGATCGGCGTACCGGTCGGTCGAGGCTCGGACTCGATAGCTGGGCCAGGTACTGGTGGTTTAACTGCTATGGTAAATGCCTCAATTGAGCACTAAATAGCTTTCCCTGGTCCAGTAAATGCTCACGTGCGCAAGGAAAACTACGCTGAAGGCGAAGGTGCGCATGGAAAGCTATTTACTGGAGCCACTACAGGAACGCCCGAATTTATCCGACTAGAAATGTTTCTACTCTATTTTTTTCCACGGCGGATAGCTGGGCCGAGAACTGCAGGTTTAACTGCCCCAGTAATAAGTCCTCACGTAAACAGGGGAAAAACTATTTAACTGCTAAACTGCCCACGGATAGACAACAGTCAAAGACAAAGTCATCCGAAGCAAACCGGCAGGAGAGCGTCACAACGACAAAGCAAGTCAAGAGAAAGGAACAGGCAAGGAGAGACAAAGAAATTGAGAGAAATGGACGAGGAGAGAGAGAGGAGCACGTCCCAAATTTCCCGAAACCAGACCTGATGGTCATACAAAAAATCGATAAACCCGCCAACAACATCGAAAGATGATCGTTAAGAACCAGCGCAGCGACCCTACGTTGCGTTTCATCCGGCCGCCAATACCAGAATCATCAGGGGGGGGGTTGTCCAAGTAAAGGGACTGGATTCAGGAACCTCACGAACACCTAAGCAGAGGTACTACTGGATTCAGAAGAAAGACAAAAAGGAAGAGTCCAGCAGTAATGGGAGTTTCTAGAAGTCTATCGGGATGCATACAGAGCCAAGAGAGGAGACTAGAAACCAGAAAAACGCTTTTATCCTTGGGTAACGTCCGCATAGAGAACAGACTATAGAAGCTGAAGACAAAAAACAAAATAGACCGAAAATGTTTCACCACTTCATTGGCAGCCACTTGTCAATACGTCAATCTGTAGCGCAACTGCAATACCCATTAGTCTCGAGAAAAAAACTAGTTCCTTAAACAGTTTTTAAAAACCCTGCCCTTCGATTTTCGCAACCCGCTGTTCAGACATCTCCTCGTACCCTTTTGTAGAAGTTGCCCCACCCTGTTAGACACAACACCCAATCAACCCAAATTCCCCCAAATTTTCATGAAACTTTACGTAGCACATCATCGAAGTAAGCATCAGGGAAGCCTCTCTTTCTTAGCTCGATCTTCAACATAAACAAGGAGGCTACCTCAGTACCCAACACTGTTTTGAATGTTTTAACTTTGTGTAAACATGAGCCGATTACAGCTATTTTCTGCTGCCAACTGCAAAAGGAGTCAAAATCTTACAAATTTTAAAAGCGCAAACCTTCTTCATGGTAACTTCTCTTATTTTTATGCAATGCCACACATTGGATCCCCCACGGTCACCCCAAGACCTTCAAGACGCAACCTAAAAAGTCCCAGCAGTTAGTGTCACTGGTTCGTTCCAATATCAAATTACAGTCGTAGCAGGATTCAAACTTCATTAAATTGACCGTGCACGCAACGTAGATGCGATATCACCTTGCTTGTATCTAACTAGGATTGACACATCATCCACCATCTGAATCCCACCTACCAATCTCCGATCGCTACCAAGAGAGGACAGAAACATGAATTCATTAAGAGCACATAGCAAACAAGCCAAAGCAGGGCTACACGACTTCCCCATGGGAATGCCGACCTTCTGCTGCAAAACACGACCACAGGCTTTGAAAAATGTACAACTCATGTCAAGCTCCACAAAAGCATTTATAGTATCAAGAGCAACAAAACTCTAACCAAGTGGAGAGACCTCAAATTTCAGCTCAACTCTCTTCCTCATTTTTTTTATCAGAACACCCTTACATCCTCGAATCGCCCATAAGTCCACCACCCACTGAACAACCTTCAGAATAGATTCATGTGGCAAGTTACAAAACATCTCTTTGATGTCAAAGGTCATACTTAAGAACCGTTCGCCTTGCTTTAGCTCCCCATTGACCATCCGGAGAGACGAAGTCAGGTCAGCCATACTCTTCAAATTGAAATCGGTGCCCTGCGGCTACTCCCATAACAACTGGTTGATGGCCCGAACAATCTTCTTGCTTGCAGTAACTCTACATTCAGAATGCGTTGGACAGATACGACACCACTTTGTGATATCCTTGTGTTTAGGGATCGAATATGCCCACCCTAGGCTTTCCTCACCGTTCCATTTTTTCATACCACCAAACCCTCCATCCTTCAAGTTATACCTTTTTGCACAACCTTGAATTACCTCATCCTCGTCATCACACATCACAAAACCAAGGTTGGACATGAACAACTTGTCCATACTATTTCGGTAGATAACAGGACAACAGACAAGTGAATCTCCCTCATTATGGTCGATGGAACACCTTACCGAGTCTCCAAACTTTTTCTTCCAACTTATAACACCATCGATGTTATGATCAATCGGGCTACGTGCCCTTACGGTCTCATTGAAACATGAGTCAATCACGCCCTTTTCAAACGCGTCCTCACGAAGAGCTGGTAACAAACGAGACTAACCAAAGGAAGCGATAACCTGTCTAATCAAATTGTGATGAGAAGTGACACGCGACGGACGAGGAATATTACGAGAAATTTTCAGGGAGGAAGGAAAAAAATCACTTATGCCAGACGAAAGCAAACATGCTCATTCATGTGTGGAAAAGTCTCATCGACGTTAACTCAACAGCCATAATGTTTCAATTGCCTAAATGTTGATCGAAAACAATACATCACCAATACTCCGATTTTTAACCCAAACCACTCTCATTCTTCTTACTACTATATCCTTTAAACAACTCAGGATGTCCATCCTCCCCACTAGTCCGCAACACATAGTCCTAATCACACACTTGATAAGACAATCATCATACATAGCACGTAGAACAAAACAAGAGTGCACATTGACCCCGAATTTCATACGAATATCACCGGATAATACGCAACAAAGAGTGTACCTTGACCTTTTTTCCTTGAAGCTTCTAATGGTAGCGTAGAGCGCTACCAACTTGT